AAGAAGAAAAGGGCATTCAAGAACTTTTATTGCGTGGAAGACTAGCCAAGAATTATTAATGGGAGGAAATTTAAATGTTATGTACCTCCTTTGCAAGGAATGGAAGTTTATGTTAACTAGAGCTAAAAAAAACCACGGTTGTGTAAGAGGCACTTTTCTTGTCTTAAAACACACATTTCGTGTCACCTGTCAATGAGGCACTCGGGTGCGCTTCGCGAGCAATTTTTTTGTTCTTGCCACGTTTTACGTCTTCTGTGTCCTACGAGTGAGCATACACTGGGCAACCTGGAATCTATTTCTTATTTTATATATTAAAGGAGAAAATTTGCCAATTATGATATCTCCATACGGCAAACCTCAATAGATCAGAAGTAAGAGCCAATCAAAATGCGTGCGTAACTTTGTCTATTTCTCTTTAAAAAAAATTGTAGATCACAACAGATGTATTTGACGGGGTCGGAGTATTTTGGTTGTATCACACTGAAATTTGCCTGATTTTAGTCTAAAGCTCTGTCGTATTCTAATGATGCCCTTCACTGACAGTCGATTTTGTATAGTCCCCCATATATACGACAATGAAGAAAATAAGAACGTTACTCTTGAGCATAAGAATTGCATTACATGAATATCTTGGGTTACTGATTGATGAGCATCTAAGTCGGAAAAACCATATCTAAATACCGAATGCAAATATGGCGTCCAATTTGAATTGCCATTGTTCTGGACTGACTAGCCTCGTCTTCACGTGGAAACACAAAAGGATTATTACATGTGTGAGATGTAATAATCCTTTTGTGTTTCTACGTGAAGACGAGGCTAGTCAGTCCAGAACAATGGCAATTCAAATTGGACGCCATATTTGCATTCGGTATTTAGATATGGTTTTTCCGACTTAGATGCTCATCAATCAGTAACCCAAGATATTCATGTAATGCAATTCTTATGCTCAAGACTAACGTTCTTATTTTCTTCATTGTCGTATATATGGGGGACTATACAAAATCGACTGTCAGTGAAGGGCATCATTAGAATACGACAGAGCTTTAGACTAAAATCAGGCAAATTTCAGTGTGATACAACCAAAATACTCCGACCCCGTCAAATACATCTGTTGTGATCTACAATTTTTTTTAAAGAGAAATAGACAAAGTTACGCACGCATTTTGATTGGCTCTTACTTCTGATCTATTGAGGTTTGCCGTATGGAGATATCATAATTGGCAAATTTTCTCCTTTAATATATAAAATAAGAAATAGATTCCAGGTTGCCCAGTGTATGCTCACTCGTAGGACACAGAAGACGTAAAACGTGGCAAGAACAAAAAAATTGCTCGCGAAGCGCACCCGAGTGCCTCATTGACAGGTGACACGAAATGTGTGTTTTAAGACAAGAAAAGTGCCTCTTACACAACCGTGGTTTTTTTTAGCTCTAGTTAACATAAACTTCCATTCCTTGCAAAGGAGGTACATAACATTTAAATTTCCTCCCATTAATAATTCTTGGCTAGTCTTCCACGCAATAAAAGTTCTTGAATGCCCTTTTCTTCTTACTATCTTAATTTATGAATTTCGCACCTAATGAACTTTTTAGATTTTCCTCCCTTAATTTTCAATTACATTCATTAGTTGCAGAAATATAAGAAATATTCGTATCACACAATCACAATTTACTAGAATGTCATTCAAACTGGCACTATACCAAAAATTGCGCAAGAACTCCACTCCTATTCATCTGTAAAAAGAATCCGATTAGAGGAAGTTTCTGACTGGGAAAATCTATCACTACTTACTAATCACGCAAAAACAACTCAATAAAGTATGACTGTCATTTCTTTTAGCTCAAAAATCGACTTTTCATTGCAAAAGCACTGCCTGGTCCATGCTAACGATACATCACATGCTCAATGCTTCTACCAATCCAGTGCAGTCTCTCCCAGTACTCGTCTTACCGTATATTCAAGGTGGGTTAAGGCAGGATTGCCGACCCGAATTCTTTCTCCCTGCAGGTTAAATATTCTCTTTTCATCTACACCGCTGGGGATCCAATCGTTTTCGGTTCTTTCGGACAAGAAGACAACAATCAGTTTCTCCACAAGTCGTTGGTTCTCTTTAAATTCTTCGTGTACAAATTTTCCGTCAAAAGTGACGAAACGACCTTTTGTTTCTTGCCATTTGCTTTTGATTAGAGACGAAGCTTGGGGAGACGCGACTAGCACTATACAGTCACTGTTTCGAAGTGTCCACTCCACATTTCGTTTTTCTGCTAGAGTACCAGTAATATTTCTTACGTCTGCTGACTTTCGAAGCTTACCCTGTAAATAATCCTGGAGTTCTTGAGCGTCGTCACGGTCGCTTGCAGTGCAGAGAAAGAAAACGGTTTTCATTTTGGGCTTCAATTTGTAACCGAGATTGCTAACAGGCTGACCAAACCGGCGGTTTTCAAGATCGTTTTGATATTCAAAGAGTATGGTTATGAAGAATAATTAAAAATAGCTAGATCGTGGGTAAATGTGCGAAATGTGCGTGGAACGTGGAATGTACGCGGAACATTCTGACGTTCCGCGCCATTAAGTCTTCTTTTCTCCATGCACACACGTTCAGATTCTCTTCAGAAGTTCTTTTCTTAGTTCAGAAACGAAAACAATGCTTTTGAACAGTGTTAGGAACCGTCACATGATTCCTCAGTCATGAAAAATATGGACGTTGTAAAGGTAACATTTCCTTTGTTTAATCAGTGTTCGACAAGTAAGAGTATAAAAACCCGAACTGAATGCTGTGCAATGGCTGTACACGGGTGGAATGTTTGCGCTGAAGTGTTTTGAAATTAAATTTGAAGAATATAATGGCGGATACGAATACAACACCCACATGCCAATACGCGATTTTGCTAACACGGCGACCAAATGGAAAGTTTTCGTTAAAATTTTGTACCTTTAGAGATGTCTACGGTGATTTTCACCTTCCACACGGATCAATGATCTCCGCGGCCATCATGGAAAGAAAAAGGGTTTGCTTCTTTGGCTCTGCATCTCCTTCTACAACAACAGAGATCGACGCCGCGGGAAACATGCCTCTTGAGACCTCTGGTACTGGGTTGGCCAATCCCAGTGTTCATTCTGACCCTACCATTAGCAAAGTCGGGGACCTTACGCAGTAATTTTTCTGAGGATGGAATGGGGAGTGCAACACCAGTAATTTGTTTCGCATTGTAGAACTCTTTCATCTTTTCTTTTTGTCAGGAGAGTGAAACCAAACCCTCCTCGTCTACGCCCTTACGACTTACGAAGTGTCAAATATTTCCCAACTAGTGAATATACAAACATCGGTGGCTAGTGCAACACTAGTAATTTGCTTCGTATAACAAGACCAACACTCCAACCCTCTTCAGGCTCTTCACGGAGCGCTTTGCCTCGGGTAAGGACAAAACATGGACCCCTACTTTGGACCCGGTCCATGAATCCCTTTTCGAGGACCCCATATAAAAATAGGATATATTTTGTTTCGCAAGTACTTGCTACAATTTGGATCATACCGGCTACATCCGATCCGATAAAACCAAATACCGTCTTTCCCATAGCAAAGACGACGCATGATTTTCGTGCCAGAAATTCGAGTCATTTCGTTCACAAGCTACACTATTTTTGCAACCATAAAACAACAAAGAATTTAAGAAACAAAATCTTTAATTAGAAAACTTATTTTCAATGAGAAAATCATAGGTACATATTAAGTTTTTACTGTAAAATCAAGATGAAAGACAAAAATCGCTAAATATTTACGCAGGTGTGCAAACCGCTATGCGGATCAGATTTCAAAGTGAATGTGCAAATTTGGCCCTGTGTGAAGAGATCTCATGTTACACATGGAACTTTTCAATGAGGAGCAAGATGAAATGAACAAGAAATATTTCAGGACGAAAACTTTCTTTAAAACTGTTCTTGATTCGCTTTTACTAGCGAAAAACGTGCATGTACAAAGCGCACACAGTGGAATTCATCGTGGTTATATATTGTCGGATCGGATGTAGCCGATATGATCCAAATTGTAGTAAGTACTTGCGAACCAAAAAAACTTGCGAAACAAAATATATCCTATTTTGATATGGGGTCCACGAAAAGGGGTCCATGGACCAGGGGTTCATATTTTGTCCTTACCCCTTTGCCTCGACCTCATGTAATAGCTGTCGTGGAATGTCCTGCTTCATCCACTGATTTTCAGAGCTGCCTTTTTAGTGCTTTTCTCGGTCAAAATTGCATGTTTCCGCTCAGAAAATATCGTGTAAATCTTAAGCACTACCGGCTTAGATGTCAACAGCTGGTGACCAATGATCCAGAAATGGGAGATAAAGACCTAGATTCAGTAAAGCGCTCTGAGAAATACACCGAGTTTAAACCGGGAGAAGAATTCCGCAGAGATAAATTGGACACGGAGTTCTGGATTAAGGTACGTAAAAACTAGTTGCCCTTCTTTAAACCTTAAACACTTTAAAAATTAAGAGCAGGTTATATTGTTTATGTTTTGTTTGAATTAAAAGTCAACTGCATTTGTGTGCAAGGTGTGCGAGCGACCTCCGGAGCACAAGTTATGAATTCGTATGCCATCTTTGCACGATAGGCATTTATTGCAAGTCAAACTACAGCCATATACGATCATTCATAGGTTCATCAGAAGAAGAATGAAGGATTGTCATGGAACAGAGCTATGGATGAAGTGCAAGTGGACTTCATGGTCCAGAGGTACAAAGACAATGCCGAACTGATCAGAGAGGAGCCAGCCCTGTTGATGTTAAAACATTGGCCAAACTGTAAAAAGTACAGAGAAAACTCTGATGGTCTACAAGGACTTGAACAGTTGGTATGGGTGACGTTATGAATGAAACAATTAACTGCCTTGTTTAATCTATATTACCAGTATATTCAGTTGTAAAACTGATAGCTCTAACACAAAATACAACTGGTAACAGTTTAACAAATATGTTTTAGAAAGTAAGTTGTTTTTCCATGGAGGTCTTGCTATTGACTAGATTAAGAACTACCCTCATCAAAACTAAAAGTACTTGTTACACCTCTTTTACCCAATTCTATATTCCTTAATGATTCTAAACTGTTACTGGTTTAGATAGTAAAAAAAGAATTAACTTTGTAGGCACAACCCTGAACTTGAAGTAATTAATTCTTCAAAAATTTCCTCTTTACATACACTGTAAACTAATAAACATAATTGCTGAAAGTTTAAATTATTTTATAGATAAATCGATACTTGGAGATTCTGCTAGAAAGTGGATTGAACTCAGGGAACAGATATCAGACTTTCAGAGATAAAGAGGACAAGACAAAGAAGACATTGTTGCACTATGCTGTGGAACTTGGCTTTTTGCACGTTACCAAAACACTTGTAAAGAAGTGTCCATTGCTGCTAGGACAAAAGACAGTTGAACAACTAGAACCTGAGCAGAGAGCCATGTTACCAGTTGAGTTGGCAATGCTAGCTGCAAATGATGAGGTGGCAGCTTATCTAGTTAGAATAATGTGGCATGAAAGGTATGCAGGTTCATGACAGGTGAACCATAAAGTGGTAGTGATCTTTGACCAACTACTTTCATGTACAGGTAAATTAATGAAATTGAATTACAGAAGAAAGGAACCTGCCTTGAAAATTGTCTCTTTCCCAAATTGAGGTTACTAAAGGTAGCTCAGTTGGTATATTAATTGCCCAACTAGTATCTTGGAGGCAATTGGGTTCCATCCTCACTGCGGAAGCCTGAAGTGTTTTGGGCTTCATTTTTCTGAAACATCTTTACTTGCCAACCAGTTAGTAACCTGTAAACATTCAAAGGTCAGATATTTTTTATTAACTTGGAAACTTGAAATGTTGATTTCTTTACAGTGTACATGATGTTTGATCTTAATTATTATAACATCTTGGGACACCGTTTAGAAATTTATTCTCTCCATTGCTGTGCTTGAGTCAAATCTGTAATTTTGGGTGCTGGGGGATTATTGAATATAAAAGAAACACATGAAATGAATGCTACCCCTCAACAATATATAAACAAACAACAAACTGTATGGTACAGCTAAGTTCTATCTGATCATTAATAATAAAGTTATTTTGATACTTGCATTTTTTTATTATGTAATATTCCATCGTTATTACAGGGTCAAAAGTTTATTTTCTTGGATACCAGATGACATGACAGAACCTCAGCTGTCTGTGTTCAGTTTCAAATCTGTTATTGAGAATCCTAAAATGAAGGTGAATATATATATCTTATTAACCAAGCGCGAGGGCCGTACTGGGAGAATATTGGCCCGAGGTCTTTAAAGTATGGACCTCGCTGCACTCGGTCCGTACTTAAAAGACCGAGGGCCGATATTCTTCCAGTACGGTCCCGAGCAAGCTTGTTTAATAAGAGATTTATTACACGACTGAAGTTCAAAGGGACACAAGTGCGGTATCATTCAGGACCATTCAGGACAGTGCCCGGTCCAATACTGCAAGAATATTGACCGGCAATAGAGAATTTTGATTGGTTGATTTTAGTTATTGGCCCTCTGACTTCCCAAGTCATGTAATAAAATTACGTATTGTAAAATTGAAGAATAAGGTTTCCAGACTATTTCCTTAGAAGATTTGTTAACATCACAAAGCAAAAGTGATATGTTTCAATTTCTATAAAAGTTGACATTGTAAGTACTATAATAATTATCCTTTTTTGATTGTGAGGTGTATTTGGCTGTTTTTTAGAGAGCATTAATGTTAGGTTATGATGTTTTTTGTGGGGATGCAATTATAAGTATTTGATTAGTCAAAAATGTGTGTCACTATTATTAAGTTAGGTATATAGCAAGCCCCTCTAGCAGTTTAGTGTTTCAAATTTTTACTTTTACATATTGTATAAATAAAGTGATGCTCATGTTTGTATGAATCACAGAAAACAGTGGTGGCCATATTAGACCAGATGGTAAATCCTTATTCATCACATCTCCCAAAATGCAAGGACACCTATGACAATGAAGAAGAGAAGGAGGCAACTGAAGGAGTCTGGAGGACAATCACAGACGATCCTTTAAACTATCACTTCTATTATCATATTTTGGACAGTGACGAAGGAGGATGCCCTCCAAATCTTTTGTATCAAGGGAAGCATATGGATAACAAATTCTTTAACTGGAGAGATCAATCATGTTTGCATGTGATTGCAACAAGCACTAATATGGTAAGGTAAAATTACAAAAACATATAGCTAAAAACAAATGAATGAATAATAGAAGGTTCTCAACAGCACTTAGCAGTAAGGAAGAATTGTCACTCCTCCAAAGTGGAATAGTTCCTCAATCAATTAGATGTTTTTATTATTAAAATATGTTCAATTAATCAGATTTTATCAAGTTTTTAAAAGAAGACCATGGGTAGTAATTATTATAACACATGGTTTAATACATTATTAGTTTGTTATATAATTGAAGTGTACAAATTTATTATATTATTGTATTTATTTATTGCATTGTTCACTGAGAAACCTTTTTTGGGAGTGTGCAATAAAGTTAAGCCAGCTTAGACTTCAAATAAGTCTTCATAACAGTTTTCTGGTAATTAATCACTTATGAGATACAATGAAATATATGAAGTTCATATATTTTGTACTGCAGTATTAGATACATATGATGCACGATCCTCACAGTAGATAGCGCTATTTAAGCAAAAGCGAAAATCAGACCTGAAAAAAATTTGGGCCTGTATGGGATTCGAACCACTGACCTCTGCGATACTAGTGCAGCGCTCTACCAATTGAGCTAACAAGCCAACTTGGAGCTGAGGCCGTTAAGTTGATATATTTCATTGTATCTCATTTATCACTTTCACGGGTTTATTACGAATCAACTTAACGGCCTGCTCCCAGTTGGCTTGTTAGCTCAATTGGTAGAGCGCTGCACTAGTATTGCAGAGGTCAGTGGTTCAAATCCCGTACAGGCCTGATTTTTTTCAGGTTTGATTTTCACTATTGCTTAAATAGCACTATCTACTGTGAGGATCGTGCATCATATGTATAATCACTTATAACTCCTTGGTGGAGAAAGGCTTTGTGAGAGCAAATTTATGCTATCTTGTTCAAGAATGACACTATTAATCACCTCGCCAGATGCTGGAACCTAGACCATCCTGATCCCAATTACAGTCTACTTTAAAATTATCCACCACAGGGCTTATAACTGCATCTCCAGCATTATGATTGCATGAGGTCTATGCAATCAGTGACAATCATGTTAGCCAATTTGGTGTGACTGAATATTATTATCTATAGTCCATTAATACTTTTTTCGTGGAAGATGTCAGGATAGGTTTTTATTCTTGTTTCCCCTGCAGAATTGTTAATCTTGCTTTATTTTTAATCTTAATTTGTACTCGAAACCCTTAAAATCACTAAAAACTGGTTATTGTAATTGTTTGATTTAGCAACAGTTTCAGGCATATTTATTAAACGGCTTGGGGTTCATCTATAGCTAATGGACAGAAAAATTCTGTCAGTAATCTTAACTTGAACCTTGACCAATCTATCAACTTAAGAAGGTGTAGTCTGATCGTCCAGGTGAGTGTAGTCCTGAGAAGGAGTGTTGTCGGTTGTAATGACTGACGTTTGGACAACCTGTGCGGAAGTCATCATCAGAGTCAAGTGACTGATTGTTGTCAGAAGATTATTGTCAGTTGTTGTTCTACTGACAACAATCATTCACTTGACTCTGATGATGACTTCCCCACACATTGTTGAAATGTCAGTCACTACCACCGACAACAGCCCTTCTCAGGACTACACTCACCCGGACAATCAGACTACACCTTCACATGTTTAACCCCCAGGTTCAAGCCATTTACTGCATTACCAACTTAAACTAATTTCATGCAGTTAAAGAAACTTCAAGTAATCATTTGACTCCTCTAAGAGTGACTAACAACTAATTAATCTCCTTATATTGTAGTACCCCTGTATTTAATCACACATTTATAAGCCGGTCACAAGAATAAATTAAAGGAAATGATCATGAACTAGCTAAAGAAGCTTTGATTGTGAAACAAATTCTCATTGTCAGTAAATCAGGAAATGGGCAGAGAACAGTAAGGAAAGTATGCATACTGATGTTAGGGTGTACAGGCTTAATCACAAATAATTATGGAATTAATTTAAACTAATAGTTTCACAGATGAGCAGTATACCAAAAAGGTTTTGTCTAATTATTTTGCACTCATGCATATCATGTACGTATTGAATTTTGGTTAAAATGAATTTTTTGACCTTCATTTTCCAGGAGGCTTTGCAGCATCCAGTGGTTAGAATGCTGATTAAAAGAAAATGGCAAAGCTATGGACATTGGTTTCTTAGGTAATTGATTATGTAAACGCTGTTGCATATCTGTACTCAGGGTAATTTAATTTAGATGTTAGACTCACTTCAACTTTATGTAAAGAATGAGAAAGAGTAAGTTAACTAATTTGGGCTAAAAGAAAATACTTTGTAGCTCTTTCCTGAGTGGTCTCCTTCGTAGCCGTTGTTTGGTCTAGTCACGCAACGCACTCTCTCCCCCATCAATGTTGCTTGACTAGACCAAACAACTGCTACGAAGGCGACTACCCTCTCAGGGGCAAAGCAAGATTCCTCAATCGTCAACATGCCCGTGGATTTATACGCAGATGTTACGGTTAAAAGAAATTGGCTAAAAATGAGAAAGTTGTTGCAGAGAGAAAGTCATAATGGAGAGCATGAGATAGGTTGCTTTTCCTCGACATAATGCCCAATTGAATTTCTTAACTCAATCAGAAGGGAGCGTCTGACATCAAAGGTAATAGATAAAAAAACTAAAAAATTTTTTTGATTAAAATTGTAACTACGTTTTATTTTTATTTGCTAAACCTTAAGGCACGTATAGATGAAACCCCCATTATGTATAAAATAACACTTTTTCCGCAGCCTCCAAGCTGTATTCTATGTTATCTTCTTGCTGTTATTGACGTATTCTCTGCTGCATGCCTCAACCAAACCGGATCCAAATAGTTACAGAAGTGTGGCAGACTCTTTGCGTGGATTTTGTGAAGTTGCCACTCTTTGTATGACTGGCTTTTACATATATGAAGAAATCAATCAGATAAGGATGTGAGTAACTAAAGGAATACTTACGGATAGTAATTTAGATGGCTGTCACATGAAATCTTAGATGTGAGGCCTATCGAATACTCCGTTAAGCAGAAAATTAAAATCATTTTTACATTGTCCAAGTGCTGCATCCTCAAAATGTTAGTTAGTGTAATTGAATAGTGTTACATTTTCACTGACCAATGAGGACTTATTTTTGGTAACCTCGTCTACTAGTGCTATATGTATGATTACAGGTCCAGGACGATTGAACGTCTGACTTGTTATCAAAATTACATGCGCGAAATTCTATTTCACAGCTCTACTTTCCACTGCGTTTTTATTTAATCAGACATAATCGCCACCTTATCACCTTATTGAAAATAAGCTCCGTTTTACAACTTCTTTTACCATCTCACTTTAGAACACAGCTAGCAGAGCCGCGCAATCAAATTCAGTAGACGTAAGCGTGCTCAAAATCCCGATAGTGCAAGCTGAAAGCGTGAGCAAATCGCTTCGCCAGAAATTTTTTTTTCGCGCGAGCGGCCATTGTTAGCGCGGGAAAAATAATATATTTCGCGACAATAATGGATACAAACAAAGACTCGGTCTACTAGTCCCAAAACTAAGACAATTTTTCGACCCTTCCCTTAGGCTAGAGTTCTTAAATGAGGCAGAAAAAGGGAAAAACAACGGAAAAGGAGACTCGGCATCAGCGTTTCAACTAATATTATTGTCCGTTTTTCGCGTAGGATTTGATGCACAATTCCACCGGCTATGTTCTAAGACAATTGGCTCATGCTTTTAGCTGTGCACTATCAAATTATGGAGCACGTGGGAAGTTTGGAGAGCACTGAAGAAGCTTCTCTCGTGCTCTCCAAACTTCCTGCGTGCTCCATAACTCGATAGTGCACGCTAAAGCATGAAGCAATTGTTAAATGAAACTTTCTAAACAGTGGCTCTAAAATTACCGACCTCCTACAAACGTCTTACATCAGGGCTTTGTTGTTTTTTCACCTTATTGTCAGGAACTCGTAATATGTTAGTCCTCCTAGATCCGAAGCGTAGGGGGTCAATGCACTATCTTCCTTTTTAGAGAAGGGCGTTCATACATAACAGAGTGGATGACCCTGTTTGACTGGTTAGGCCTGTTGATGATCCTGTGTATAATACCCTTGCGGTTCACTGGTAGCCAGGCACAATGGACGGTTGCATCGTTAGCAGTCTTGTTCAATTTCCCGAGGATATTCAAGTTTTGTTGTGTTACAAGGTGATAGTTGTTATAACGATAAACTTCGAGATTGCACATATGTACAGTTTGTCTTCGAGCTTAATGATTACAAATAAGAGTATTGATGTAGCTTGTACAATAAGACAGATTCAGCTTATGCGTGCATGTCGAGAAGGTAGGACTTCCGGTGGTTTTCAAATTTAGAAATATCTTATGAGAAGTCGTTTATGTGCACAAACGTAGAAAGATCGGTGGCCTAAACGCGCGACTCAGTTAGTTCCTTCTCGTTATTAGAAAACGGCGGCCGATTTAAATACGATAAATGTAGTGCAAATATAAACAACATTTGACTATCTCAGGGGCTCGTGATAAAGATTACAGCAAATAACCTTGTAACAACCAACCTTTTATTTTATTTTTCAGGACAACGGGATTATACACCAAAACCTTGGCTAAGATCATTCAGCAAGACTTGACACGATTTATGACTGTTTTTCTTGTTATCTGTCTTCCCTTTTGTGGTGCCTTGTTTTTATCTCTCCGTTTCTCTAAAGAGAACCATCAATTCAGGTATGGGTTTATAATACATGTTCATCCAATGAGATCCCTACCACCTATAGCCCTTCATGCGACAAGGTTTTTGCTGCCATTGTTCTGGCTATTCTGACCTTAAATGACGCAAGTTATACTCAGAGGGCCATGGTATCACAAATGTTCTTAACTTGTAGCTGGCATATGGGTGGGCACACGCTCAATGGATAGAGCGCTGGACTGTTGTGCGGGAGGTCGAGTGTTCGAGACCCGGCCGTACCAACACTCAGGTCTTAAAGTAATTGAGAAGAATTTCCTGCCTTTCTGTAACATTAAGAAATGGTTAGATATTCTAGTCCTCTCGGATAGGGACGAATAAATGGAGGTCCCGTCTTCTGCAGGGTTGGGGTAGGAGACGTTAATTTCCCACACACGAGATTACTGTGTGATGGATGTCCTTCCCTGGGGTGGGATGGGGGGGTTTATTAGGTCCACAGTAACTGGCGCAAGCTGTTGCGGTGTCCCTGCCGGTTGGCGAAGCGATTAAATCATAAATCATAAATCATACGGGTGTTACGAAAGATGTGCCAGTCGCCAAACGTTTACGTTGACTCACTTTTCCTCAAATTTAGTGGCTTAGTAGACGTGTTGGAGAGCGGTTTTCGAGCACTGTTCGAACAACGACCCATCGTGGAAGATTACGCGGGCTTCAAGTAAGTTTATGATCAGTTGGTGTCCTTGGTATCTTTCGCAATATCGCGTCAAATGTACAGACCTACATCGTGTTAATTTGACTTACAGTTGGCTGTCAATTCTGCTGATGATGACGTACATGGGGACTGTGATTGTGATTCTTCTCAACATACTCATAGCACAGATGAGCACGACCTACATTCAGGCCAAGAAAGTCGCCCGTCTGGAGTATGATGTGGATCGTATTTTACAGCTGACTCGCATGGAGAGATTTCCTTTTCTGGTATGTTAGCAAGTAGGCCCGGTAACTAGGATAGGCAATAGGAATTCTTTGGGGTGGTTTTACGCAAGTTTAATAAGAATTTGAACGAAGTGAGTTTTTCGTGAAAATCACTTTAGCACTAAATCTTTCAGCGAAAAAAGTAATTCGTTTAGATTATTTAAACAACTATTGATTTTGTTTTACTCATAGGTATATGTTTAGATCATTAACTTTGCAATGTTTGGTAGAAGATCAGAGATGACGTCTAGTTTAGTTCGGAGCAAAAACATTGGCGCAGTTGAATGTATCACTGATGTTAACGTTCTTACCATACTTAGACGTCTTTTGTGATCTAATACAGAATAGAACCACGGCAATATGGAATATACTTGTTTTATATGCAAAGAAGAGAAATGTTGTTTATGGGGATGTTATCTATACGTCTGCCCTCCAATAGATCATAAGTAAGAACAATCAAAATACGTGTTAAATTAAGCTTATTATATTGATATATGTATACGAATTTTTAGCTAAACTCTCCACAATTTCTTTCCATGTCTTAAGAATTTACGTGTGAAGTATTACAAAGAAGGAGAATGGATCAGTGAGAAGAAACTTGCGGAAGGTTTGGAGTAATCAAAGACTGTTTAGATTGTTATTCTCAGGACTACCTATCTATCAATATTTAAATTTTGTTTGCCTCGATGAATTGGATTAGTGAACTGCTGATATGATTTAGTTAGCCATTTGTGCTAGTCAGTGGAGGAGGGGAACGGTTTCTTTTGCTCAACTGTTCCTAAGTTAAATTTATGGATGCATGGCTCTTGAGTTATTTCATTTTATGCTTTCCTGGCCTCTGGAATCTGATCTTTATCAAATTTTGTACTTTTTTCCTAGAGCTTCTGGAATTCAGTGAAGATCGCAGTCCTTGGGAGTCAGTGGAAAAGAAGCTTAATGCGATTAGGTAAGCAATCGTTCTTTCAATTCGTTCCTCCCACTGTCTTACCTGTGTACTCAAATCCCACTTGGGCGCCTATCTATAACTTTCGTTTTGATTGCTCAGAAATTTTTCTCACAGGGACATGATGAGAAAGATTGTGAAACAGATGAGGCCGGAGAAGGAATGAACAGCTGCCAACTAGGATGGTTAAAGTGGAATGATGTCCTGTCCTATTTATTAATTCGACTTTTTATCCGTTGCAGTTTGATTTTAACCTCTGTGATTTGAAAATCAAGCTTTATATATTTTTTTTTAACGATTTAGCCCTTCAAACGATTATAGAGCTGTCCACACGCGTTAAGCCTATGGAAATTTGATTGCTAAATAGTAAGCAGTTGTGCCCACGGCTTATTCGCCAGAAAAGTAAAAAGAACAATTTAAACTATTCTCAAATACTAATTCTCGCAGTTGTGATTTCTTCTCGGATATTCCCTTCCGAATGCTGTTCTAAAATGTTTCAACTTTCTTATTGTATAATTTTTACAAGAGCATGGCATCAGCTTTCGAGTCCACAAACTTTGATATGACGTTATCTGCCTTTCCAGTTTTCTTTTCATTTTAATTTTCACATGAACAATTTTTCACATGTTATTGACTTAAGACCAACATAAAGTCTATTAGTGTTGTATCAAACCAAGAGGGGATGATGGTTCATCCTCTTGAGAAGACTTTCGTGTGGGATATTTTCGTATTCTACAAACAGTTAGCCCTCCATGGTAAGAGATTTAATTTGTTGGTGTTTAATATTTGCTAGAAGCTTCTATTCTCTCAATGACGTTGAGGACTACTCTATGTATGTATCAGAATGTTTATGTTCTTGTACTGTTTCCATTTGTTGAACAAATTAAAATTAAATGGAGATTCAAACTTCTTCAGCTCTTATCTGGATATAAATACAGGTGGAAGTTTTTCAAACCCTCTGCCTTCTGGTTGTTTTGACTTAAAATTTGTTTCTGGAATGAATAAACACCGATAACTTCGTCACTGAGCAGTCGTGGAGTTGAAGGAGGTAAAAACATAAACGACTCGTTAGAACCAACTTTGTACCGTTTTGTTTGGGGCAATTGTAAACTATTGCACCTCCGGAACTATTTGTTCATCCGACAATTTTCCTCTGATGCTAAAAAGTAGTAGTCAGGAGTTTTCAGGGACAATTGATTGCCTATTTAACCTTAATTTCGACAGTGAGGGAAAGTTAGAAAATTCGTTATTTAGTTTGAACGACAAATTATGGCGTTTACATTTGCATCATTAATCAGAATTTTTTAAAAGCTCTTCCTCATGTTCCTCAACGTGATTTTGTATCTAAGTGTGACGATGACAAAGAATGCGAAAAATCTTTGTTAAGGAGCTAGGCAATTGAGACTACAAAGCGAACTGTTATGACTATGAAGCCATACCAAAAGGTTTAACACTTAACTGTAGAGACTGTGGATATAGGTAAGTGATATACATGAACTGCGTTTTAGACATGGATCTGAAAGCGATCTTCGCAGTAATGAACGCTAATTAAGCAGTAGAGAATATAAGGCTGGAAAAGAATTCAGGTCTGTACGGGTTTAGAACCCATGACCACTGCGCTATTACAGAGGTCATGGGTTCATGGACTCATGGGTCATGGATTAAAAGGGCAATCAAAAGATCAGCTGTTGCCAGACAACGATAAAATAGTTTGGATGGCGGATGAAGGGAGGACTCCGTGCGTGCAAAAAGGATCAGAGAATTCCCAAGAAATGCCGTGAGGAAGAAAAGCATGTTGAGTATTGCCAGATAATGTGTGTTTTTGCAATACACCTTCGGAAAACGTGAAACACATTACTTGTAGAAATATTTTGTGTGTATTGCAACTCCTGTTAAAATTGTGTTCGCCATTATTTTCCCTGTAAAAAGCTCTTTTTCCTTTTACTGCAGTTTTTCTGTGATTGCATTAGGAGATATGTCGTCCCAACCACACCTGCCTAATACACCTTTCTTAATCAAAATTAGTTGAATGAAGTCGACATTGTTAATTGCACGTAAGGATTGAAAATACGTGAACGCACTAGCAGTTGTGTCTAAAAAGGTTTCAAGTTTTTCTTTAAGTGTACCTTTAATTGATCATCGCTTAGGAAAGGAAACACTTCTTCAACATGCAGAAAGCCATTTCTCAGACATTGACTCAACACGATGAAAGGTAAAGAACAGTTATTAGGCTCTGAGGTGCCATTTGTCAGAAGGGACCATATAAGGACCAAGGTTTTGGGCTTCTGGTAAGGAAAATAAATAATCTTGGCCATTTTCTTCGGCGGCCAACTTACCAGTAGGCTGTGGTGTGGAAAACAACCAGGAGTTTATACTTAAGTAAAGCACGGATCTCACAGGTGTGCTGTATTAAGAGCAATTACAGAAAAAAACATTTTATTTCATTAATAGTTATGGGGTTATCTTTACTTTGTAGACATTTAATTTAATTCAAGTGTGAATTAGTTTAAGAGCCTGTTGTTTAACATGTCAAACATAGGGCATCGGTGATATACTTATTTGAGCGCATGATAAGAAAACGCCATTCCTTACAACGATTTCACTCGTGTCTGTCCATCGGGTCCTCATTACTTGTATTGTTTTCTCCGCTCACCATTCAGTAATAACCAGTACAAGTGCTTTTGAAGTCACATATTCACATATTTTGTATATATTTTGAAGTCGCATACATAAATCACATATTCGTTCCCTCTTAACCTATACATGTGTAACTGGAACAGTAAATGACTCTAAGGACAGCAAAGTGCTTGTCTGATTGTCTGCCTTACTGTTTGTCTAACTTCGCTAATCTTCCAGCAGTAAAGACACGGGTTTAAAGTTGAGTTAAAGGAGATAAGGAGCATTGTTAGTGCCCCACTGACGGCTGATGTTGATGGAGATAATTTGTTAAAAGTGATCAAAACTACCACTATGCAGTAAGGTAGATAACACGCAATTAGAGCTAACTGCACCCACAACGCACTGTTCACTGCCTTTCTGTATCGTGCGTTGTTCAATGCATTTGGTTGGCTCAGATTTTGCTGGGCATGATCTTGTATTTGAGTGTGATGATGACGAAGCGCTTTAAAAATCTTTGTGTATGATGCCAATGAGATTATGTAGCAGGATGCTAAAACTACAAAGCCGTACCATAGTGTTCTGTGGTAATCTAAGCTTTGGAATATGGGAACCACACCGCTTGCAATCCAAAAGGTAGTTAGAACGACATTTACGCGCTTTACAGTTACAATTTGTCTGTATGTCAACCCTAACAGCAGGGCTAGAAGCCTATCAACGCTTATTGCCGTCATCGTCAACAAAGACACTAAACATAAGGCAGAGACTGATATGACC